CACACACACACACACACACACACACACACAGAAACTCACATCCAGATGACACCATGCTGACCACAATGGAGGACGAGGTGCTTGAGCTTTGAACCAGAACAGTGACCAGGACTCCAATCACCAGACCAGCCACAGGGTTCGACAGAACCGCATTGTCCTGGAAGATATCGCCAGCTGCCTTCCCTGAGCACAATGACAAAACCAGCAAACCATGCTATTTGTGTCCACAGCACATCCATTTCTGCTCAGAGACAACCACCCTCCATTATACATTAACCATGTTAAACCGATTTGCTATGATAAGGTGCCGTTTGTTTGAAGTACATGATCACTGCTGAGTCTGACCTACAAAAGATCAGCCACTTATCGACACTTTTTTTTCTGTTTGACCTATATAGTTTCTAGAGTGTAAAATAGGATTTCTTGTACGTTTCGATGGTTGTTTAGTTTGACATATAGGCAAGTACTATAGTATATAGTCTAATAAAGTAGAGTAGTATTAAGTTAAAATAAAGTTCTAATAAAAAAAAGTCCTAACACTATAGTATAGTAGACATAACTTTGATTATACTGCAGAGTAGAAAATTGAAAAAATAAAAATAAAAATCAGCACTTTCAAGCAAAGGGCCTTAAAAGTTTTCCAATTCAAATGGAAAATTCAAATTAATTATTATCCATAGATTAAAATACTCACACTCCGATCTAAATTAAAATGCTTAAAAATGCATAAAATCAAGCTGTAAACTGAAATCATATTTATTTTCCCCCTCTCAATAACAGTTTTCATTGAACAGTTTTTGAAACCCCTGGAATCACAAAATTAATCATGGCTAATTTAATATATCAATATATTAATATATGCTCCCAGTTTGTTAATAATAATAATAATAATAATAATAATAATAATAATAAAAAGTAGCTTTTTAATTTTCTTATAGGTTCCCTTTTTTCCGGCATGAGACATGTTGATACTGATAAAATGAGACAGTATATCAAGTTATGAATTTATTATTAACTTACATAGCAATAACAATGATTAAAGGGGTCATGAACTGAGAAATCAAAATTCCCTTAATACTTTGACATATAAGAGGTCATAAAAACATCCTGTAATTTTCAGAACTTTCTCGTTAGTCTAAAAACAGCTTGAAGCCAATCTACCAAAACGACAGGTTGTGGAATGTGCCACTTTATGACGTAATAGTGTGGCTAAACCCCGCCTCCGCAGAAGAAGCTCAACGCCTGCTTCTAAATCACTGCCTTTTAGCCCCGCCCACTGATTCACACGTGTAGTGTAAATAACGAGAGAGGCAAACAGGTCTACACAGACATCAAACCATAAAGATGCTCCACAGGCAACAAGACGCTTATAACATGATGCTTCCATAACGCGTCTGTATCCAGTACAGCATTGTTCCCATAGCCTGATTTAAAGCGCTGTTTCTCTGGCATTTTCAAAGGCATGTAAAATATACTGTGGCTTGGCTTGATATACAGTCTAATGGTCTAACGAAATCCAATTTTAAACATCTTTTACTGTACCAATTTTTATGGCCCACTGATTCACACGTGTAGTGTAAATAACGAGAGAGGCAAACAGGTCTACACAGACATCAAACCATAAAGATGCTCCACAGGCAACAAGACGCTTATAACATGATGCTTCCATAACGCGTCTGTATCCAGTACAGCATTGTTCCCATAGCCTGATTTAAAGCGCTGTTTCTCTGGCATTTTCAAAGGCATGTAAAATATACTGTGGCTTGGCTTGATATACAGTCTAATGGTCTAACGAAATCCAATTTTAAACATCTTTTACTGTACCAATTTTTATGGCCCTTATATTTCCTATTTGAGCCAATGCAGATGAATGAAGTTATCGAGACCGCCCTGACTGTAAAGCAAAACGAGTTGTAGAGTCACAAGTTTGTGGATCGTCAGCGTGTTGACGGTAAAAATGTTTCAAAATCCACAAATGCACGCAGCGATCCACAAACACACAGGACGCGATTCACAATTGAATGCCTTCAATGCCAGACAAAGTTGTGTTTGTGACATAAAAAGATATTTGTGAATATGTTTTTTATTTGCAAATCTCATTTTACTTAGACTATTTGTGAATTCAATTCATGTTTGTGAAACTCTAAGATTAATTTGTGGATCTCATTCTATTTATTTGTCAATATGTTTAATTTTTGTTAATCTCTTTACATTTATTAGTGGATAATAATCTATTTATTTTGAATTATGCAACAATTCGGTCTCCATAGAAGAGGGCCTTATGTTTCAGTGTCTTCCTGGTATTTAGTAGGCTATTTCTTAATTTTTGCTTCTGATTAAGGTAAAACATATCCAAAGCTTTCCATAAAGGTATAGCCTACTATTAGGTTACAGTACTTTGGAATCTTATTAAAAGTGCATAAATAAGAACAATTTCTAAAAGTCACCGACTTTACCAAAAGGCCTATTCACTTTATAGTGTCTCATTGTATAGTAGTGTTTGTGGCACAATCCTAGAATTCTAAAAAAGAACAACAACAAACCCTTTTTTCAAGAAAAAAGTTATAAAGTTCAAAGAAAGTTTAAGAAAGTTTACTGCACCTCCTACAAGCTGGAAAGCGGAGCTCAGGATGTCCAGAGAGCAGACGAACACGTAGAGTAAACCAAGCAGAAGAATGAACTTCACGATAGACTTGAGAACGCGCAGAACTTTCCCCTTCGTATCGAGATCTGCAGAACAAACACAGACAAAGAGCGTGACGCGCAGGAGTTCAGCTCGCGCCGCGTGCTTCACTCGCGCTGCGCTACTTGCCTGACCATTTCACCCCGGTGTCCCGGAGCTCGGGCAGGTCCCACGGGTCCACCTCCTCCTCCGGCTCCGGCTCCGATTTTTCTGACGGCGGTTCGGGCTCGGTCGCATCTTTGCGCGCGCGGTGTGCGTCTGTGGGAGAAAAGACACGCGTCTGAAGACGGAAAGAAACCAGGAACAGAGGGGAGGACGGAAGTGCGCCTCTGCGTGGACGTGGTTTGGTACGGGACACGTACCGAGTTCCGCTGGCGGCGTGGCGGGATGAGTCTCAGGCAGCGGAGGCATCGTCTTCAGTCACATAAACATACAAATAACATGTTACGATGCAGCCATTTTACAAGTAACATTTTCTTAACATTCACTTTTGCGCCACATAAATGCTTTGCATTCTTTGTGTCCCAAAAGTTTGGTAACATCTGGCTAAAACAAAACAAAACCTGAAAGCAAAGTCAAACATCTGTTTTCTTTCTTTCTTTGATTTACGCAGTGTTTCAAAACAATAAACACTAAAGTAAAAAAGTAACACAAATACAAGTAAAAGGTGTTTCTCATCGTTTCTCATTCTCATTGTGATAACATCAAAGGATATTGATTAAAAACAATAAACAATTGAAAGTAAACACATGCAAATTAAAAGTAAAAATACAAGTAAAAAATAATTTGTTTCTCATTTAAGCAGTGATTAAAAACAATAAACAGTATTATTTAAAAACTGAAAACGTAAAGGAAAAAAGTAAGTCTTTCTTTTTCTTAGAAAGCATTGTTTAAAACAACAGTTTAAAGTAAAATAGTAAACGTAGTACAAGTAAAAAATGTTTTTCTTTCTCATTAAAAAACAGTAATACACAAAAAAGTATAAAGCAAAAGCTGGAAACGTAAAGGAAAAAAAGTAGAAGTCTTTCTTTCTTAGAAAACTTTCTTGTTTCTTGTTTAAAACAATGAACAGTTTAATGAAAAAAGTGAATGTAAAGTAAAAAAAAAAGAGTATAGTAAAAAAGTACAAAGTAAAAAGCTATTTCTTTCTAATTTAAAAAGCAGTGATTAAAAACAATAACATTTAAAGTAAAACATTTCTTTCTTTCGTTCTTCGACTGATCGTTGACTCACCTGTCCTGATTGTGTTGAATCGGCCATGTGTTAATATCTCACAAATGCTCACAGATTCTTTGTGTTTGCTTATAGAAAGACTGAGCAATGATCAATCTGTCAGCAGATATATACGTCAATATTCAGCAATTTCCACCACACAGTTAAGCAACACCTGAGATGAGAGATATAAAGCACTCCCTGACGCTCATGATACAAACTCATCGGCAGTGATCACATCCTTAGATACACCCAGACCACTAAAGACAGAAACACTACACTGCCTAGAAGAACTTAAAGGTTTAAGCAGCTCAAGAGCCTCAAATCTTTGTCTTAGAGATATACAAAAGCACAGGTAATACCAAACATGCTCTGCCAAGCACTGAGCAGCATTATTTTAGTGTGATTGTCCTACCTGTCCTGTGCGGTGTGTGTGTGTGTGTGTGTGTGTCTGCTATTAGTCCAGTGGATGTACCTGTGGAGGAGGCGCAGGTGTCTTATATACACCTGCAGCAGGACAGTCCTGCTCGTGCCACTGATTTAAAGTCCGGAGCGGGTGGTACTACACTTCACCTCACTCACAGCACATGCTGGCTCAAATATAGGCCAATTATCAGCTCAAACAGACTGACAGAACCTCTAAATAACACACAATCCTGCAGCCATGCAGACCTTGCATGCACATTAATTAATGTGGGGAAAAAAAGCTTTTGCTAAATTGCATCCTGATTGTTCTGTCTGCTTCAGTAAAACGTTTCAAAATTCTATTCTATTCTATTCTATTCTATTCTATTCTAGCAGCATATGAAGTTCTCATAACATGAAGTTTTCATCTGTCACTATCAGAGTCTGCCATCTACTGAAAAAAGGGGGTCTGAAAGCCAACCTCAACTTCAAGATGAGCCTAAATGTGTGCGTGGCCACATCTTAAACTGTTATTATTACTCAGTAGGAGCTCAAACACAGCATCTTAACAACATCATGCTAACAAACCAGGTCTGAGTGTGTTAAAGTGATCTTGATTAAAGTTCACTGATTAAGTATATGTGAGCTGAGGTCCCTCCATCCCGTTCTATACACACTGTATGCAGTCAGAGGTGAGGATCAGGTATATTCACGTACATAACACACACACTTCCCTAAATCACTACAGTACTTTAGACAATCTGCAACATCATGTAAAGGTGGTTCTTTTATATCTATAATGATCCAGACAGAATATAATACAGAGGGACTTGAAATAGTATTTTTATTATTACTCAAATTAGTATGACTATATGGTATTTTACTATAATTTTTAGTATTTATTGTATTTACAAGTATTTTGTATTTATGTCTATATATTACCTGTAGATAGTACGACAACTTAATCATTTCACAGTAAATAGCTAATAGATATTTGATACATAAATATCAAACCAAAAACATTAACTTAGCCTAATTTTGTTTGAAAATGCATATAATGTGCACACAATAATTATTAATTTAAACAAAATTGAAATATGCAAAACACAATATACACAATGAAAATGTTAAAGTGTCACTGTAACGAAAGCCATAAAGATACAATTATTATTTTTGTTTGGAATATTTGAATGAGACAGAATGCAGAAAACAATTCCACATTTTTTTTTTCTTAATATGTATTTTTCTAAAATCCAGGGATGGAAAAGAAAATGTATTCAAGTTTTTATTCACTAGTACACTTTTTATATAGATTAAGTGTTAATTTGAAAATAAAATAAATTATTATTATGATTTATTATATCCTTTATTTAAAAGGAAAATATACCATTGAGAGACAACATCTCTTCTTTCAGGGAGTCCTGGCTCAAAAAGACAGCAATAACAAATAGTTTACAATCACACTAAATAATACAAATGAAAATACACAACATAGAATCAAGTTATTTAGATTCAAGTTATTTGCAAGTTATTGAAAACAACCACAACTCTCTTTTAACAGTTTCCCATAAAGATAAAAAATTATAAGAAAAGTAAAAATAAAAAATTAAGGAAAAAAAACAGAAAAAATAAAAGAAAACAAAGAAAAACAAACAATGAAAGAAAAAAGCAATGAAAGAAAAACAATGAAATATTTGTATTGTAAATTCGGTGAAAATAAAATTATAGACATTCAGTACACATCACATAAACATAATTGTACTGTCTTAATAATATTATCTTAATCTGAAAATACTACAGGTAAACTCTAAACATAAAATACTACACAAAATACTAAACTCACATATTTTAAATATGTTAGATATATTTCAAGCATGTTGATGGAGCATTTGAATTGGAATATTAAATGAATAGTTACAACAACAACAAAAAGTATAATGTCATGCAGCTGTTTTTTTTTGGTGAAGTTGTAGGTTTATTATGAATTTTCAGCTCTCTCTGCTGCAGTGCTTATTTTATCTTTATGAAATCAGATAAAAATGTCATAAAGGCAGGTATTATACTACTCTGACTAGCTAAATATTAAACACTGTTTTTTGTTTTCACCTCCACAGTAAAATAATTCAGATAAAAGCTTAATTAGCTTATCTGCAGGTTCACTGAGCTTGTGCGACTAAAGAGAGCAGATGATATAATATATCACAGTCTTACTCTAGCAGAGTGAAAGGCTGATGCACATATAACCTAAAGCTTTAAATGCTTGGAAAACTCCCCACCCATCTGAGCAGTTAATTTTTCTTCACTATTCAGCCGTTTTGCTTGTCATATTTCAGGCATGCAGGCACTCTAAACATGACCACTAGATCAGCTTTTTCCCATTTTATAAAAACAGCAGTCTTAAAAATATTTTTTGTTTGTAATAGACACATATTAAAGTCACATACCAGATTTAGTGGTATTTGCTCACTACACTACACTACAAAAAAATAATAAAATTACCTGTTTCTTAAGTTTCTTAACATTGCGAATATTTCTTTCTAAAAAAAAAAAAACAATGCAAGATATGTGTGTATATGTATGTATGTATGTATGTATATATATATATATATATATATGTCACAATTCACTCTAGGAGAGTGGAAACGAGCAATGAGGAGACGCTGGAGTTAGCATAAACAATAGTCTTTAATAATCCACTGGGGAGACAGAGCACAAGGAAGACGATCAACAAGTCTAACCTACAAATGCAAACTGAAAGGACTGGGGCTTTTGAACACAGGATAATTGGGAAGACACAGGTGCAAGGAATCACTAATTAAAGGGAACACGGCACACATGGGGATGAAAACACAACGAAATGAGTCCAGGGGCGTGACAATATATATTGTGTGTATATATATATATATACTGTATATATTGTAAATGTATATATATATATATTTCAAAAACTAGAAAGTATTGGATCTGACTGAGAGGTGTGAATGCCAGGTCATCATACTGGGATTTTTTCCCTTTTTCCAAGTTTTTTAAATGCATGATTATAGTAGATTTGCTGTAAGTTTGTACTATCAGCATATCCTCTGGATGAACGGAAACGAATGGTTAAAAAAAAAAAAAATAATAATAATAATAAAAACATGGAAAAAATTTACTAAAATGTCATCTATTTAATAAAGTGTCTACAGATAGCCTTGCCGACCTTTCAGATTTTTGACACTGAACTGATTTGCATGGAAAATGGAGTAAATGAAATCTTTCTCAAAGAAAACCCTTGACCTGTGAAACAAAATATCTCTGCCCACACAGTCATAAAAAGATAACTGCGTGAAATGCAGAATTCAGCACTTATGATTGCCAGCTGCTCACTGCTGGCACCTTATGTCACCAATTCTTGAAAATTAAAGTCATTCTGGTGACTGGATCCAAATCATTGTGTGTGTGCAGAGAGTGTGTGTGTGTGTGCAGTATGTGTATGTGCAGTGTGTGTGTGTGTGTGCAGTGTGTGTCTGTGTGTGTGTGTGTGCAGTATGTGTGTGTGCAGTGTGTGTGTGTGTGCAGTGTGTGTGACTTGTAGGATCCTGTTGTGACACGCTGATCATCCAGTGGTTGGTTCATGAACTATCATCGTGTTCACTGAACAAAACATGTAACCTCAGGTTATTCCAGGGAGTTTACCTGTAATAAGTGTACTGTTCACTTGGAGTAAAGTGTCTGTTAACTGACCACTTATTAGTCTATATTAGTGTAAGAATAAATCTTTAAAATGGTTTATAGAA